ACACACACACACACACACACACACACACACACACACACACACACACACACACACACACACACACCGCTCAACTGATGAGTGAGGTGAAGCTGATGGGACAGGGGCTGCGTCTCAGTTTAGGGGTTGTAGCCCTCGTAGACTGTGGCCCATTTTGGCTACACCCTACRTGGGCCGTAGACCACCAGTGTCGGCTTCATAAATGGCTGTCAAACGGAATGATCTAGTCTATGCACTGCCCCGTTAACATGGTGGTGTGTTTTATATCACATGCCTTCAGTTGTCTTCTCACTGTATAAMTTCACAAAATTCTGTATTATTAAAACATTACACACACAAAAATAATTATTATTTGAGTTTAGCTCCAGTATCAATGCTTGCAATTGTGTTTTATTTAACATCTCATTGCAGCAAAGTTGCTAAATACACATTTAAAAGTGAATTCTTCTGGCTGATAAATTTCCAAACCCCTCTGCTGTCTTAATTTTTCTGTTTAGCTGCTGACGGTGCAAGGAATTCTGGGATATGCACCCAACATTTTCTGGGTTTTGTCAGTTTCATGAGTAGGCATCTATGAATTGGGACAGCCTAYGGCGCGGGGCAGTGATTTAAGCTGCCGACAAATGCACCCTACGTGGGCTGCAACCTCTGAATTAAGACACAGCCTACAAGGACTGGGGTTGATGTGAAGAAAGGCTGCAGCTGTGACACTTTACATCCTTCCCTCCTCTGTGAACTCTCACTCTGCAGCAGTAAAATAATTYGTAATAAGTTATTTTTCCCACAGACTCCAGTCTTTAAAATGATCACATGTTGGGACAATAAGGACCAACCACCAGTAGTTGGGCTGATGATGGTTGATGGAAAATATTTAGCCTTTCACCTAACCCTCCTGTCCAAATTCCACAAGTCCCGGGAAGGTTTTTGGGGTGATGAGGCATTTGGTGTCTCCCCCATTTGCAGTGAACTGGTACAGTTTGAACAGGTACAGATGTTTATTGACATTCTTGAGTGGGGGTGGGCGGTGTTGTTGGTGGGGCAATATGCCCCCTTGGTTAATGCTAGGGGAAATGCTGCATACTAATATAATAATAAAAGGTGTGCATGTACAGGTGTCAGACTAACTACAGCTCTGAAGCAAACACCCGTACCTTTCCAGGCAGTTCTCATAGTTGACAGTTGCCTTGAATCCATAGATGGCAAAGGTGACAATAGAGGCAAAGATGGAGGTTCCACTATTAATGAGAGAGACAATGATGGCCTGGCGCTCAAAATTGTTGTGGTACTGGTTGTAGCTGGAAAAAGCTATGAGTGATCCAAAACCCAAACCCAGAGAGAAAAAGATCTGAGTGGCTGCATTGATCCAAGTGGTAGGTTTGGCAAGTTCTTCCATCTAAAAGCACAGAAATGTACATAAAAAGCCAGCAAACCCTGTATTCAGACACCACAGGCATGTTGAAAAAAAAGGTTTTATTCTTCCACCAGCCTGACTTCACTCGTGACCTTACCTTGGGTGTGAACATGTATTTGACCCCGTTCACAGCTCCATGGAGAGTCATGCCTCGAATAAGGTAGATAAACAGAACAACATATGGAAAAGTTGCTGTGAAGTACACAACCTACAAAAACACACAGAACAAGTCATCAACATATGGAAGTATAAAGCTGTAGGGGAGGGAATGTCTTCAGAACATTGACAGTGACATACTGGCAGCCCTGCCTCTGTAAGTGTGCCCAAGGGCAGCTGTGGCTACAATGTAGCTTACTGCCATCAGTGTGTGAATGGGTGTGTGAATGGGTGAATGTCTGAAGTGTAAAGAATCTTGAGGTCCAAGTGTACTTGAAAAGGCACTATAATATAAGTTCAAACCATTTACCATTTACTGACCAACTGCTTCACATGTTCTTAGGAAAAACACTTTAAATAAAGACCTAGCTGTTATTGATCCAGAGTGAGAGGAGAATGAAGACCACCAAACGGTAGTTGGTAAGTCCAGAACTTMTTCAGAAGTTCTGTCGCAAATAATTTGACATGATAGTTCATAAAACTTCATAGAAAATAGATAAAACTGAACAGATTGAAATCCAACCAGAATATAAAGATATCTACACAGCACCAGAAGAGACGAAATTCAACTTTTCATCACTCCTAAAGACTTAAAGTACACGAAATATATTTAACAGCTAAAAAAAATGGATTTTGCATTCATCCCCTGTGGTAGCCATCTTGTAAATGTTACAAATAAACCCACAGACAAACAAAAATGTTTTAAAGTACCTGTGACATGCCTATCCTTCAAATACAAAAAGTCAAAGAAAGCATCTGTATACTTAAGAAAATTGGTATAGTACACATGATTTTACCCATTTTGTCACATAACTGGCCTGTTTTCTTTTAAATTTGGCTCATCCAAAGTGAAACAGGAAGTGATACCAAAGGGGAACTCATTAATAAAATAAACTCGCTGGTCTTGGTTTATCAAAACAAAATTGTTTAAACTTTAACTCTTCCTCATCTCTCTTTGACAGAGACTAAAAATAATGTAAAGAAATGTCAGATTCTTCTCTACAGTCTGTGTTGTTAGCTTTTGTAACAACGCTCTGTTTACATGCTGACATTCCYCTTCGACATCACTTCCTGTTTCTTCACATGCCAATATCTCAACAACCGTTAATCTGAGCGAYGTGAAGTTTGTTTTGCAGTATGTTATCAACGTTTTCTTTCCAAAAATGCATTCATGTTTATTACAAAAATTTGATGTCACAGGCACTTTAAATTTTAACCTGTTGGCTGGCAATAATGATAGCCAATGTAACGTATACTATCCCTTATATTGGATCAGTTAAAGGAACTTTTTTACCTTTCCGGTTGACTTCACTCCTCGGACGATGAACAGATACGTAATCGCCCATGAAAGCAGGAGACACAGTGCCTGGCCTGTATGAATWCCTCCGTTTTCTTGAATAGAGGAGGAGATGTTCAGTGTTTCCCTGTAGAAGAAATACTGAGTGGGCGTAGCTCTGTCACACTCCTCTATAGGACCTGTCCGGTTGGAGTTAATGGGGCAAACAGCCCAGGGCAGGACGGACTATGAATGAATACAGATGGGTTATTATACAGTCTGAATGAGATCCAGCTCTGTGTGTCTGGAATACGACAACCACACCTGCTCACCTGAAATGAATTAAAGAGGTACCAGAAGCTCCATGCATTGATGATGTTGTAATACAGACACAGATATAAAGATGCCACAACACTCGCAAGTCCTAAAACAAATAAGACAAMAAGAATGAGGAATGAAAAACGTCATTCAAATAAAAACATATTTCAAAACTTTGTATAGTAAAAGTAGAAGTGCCTGAATGTTTGATAAGAATTAAACCTGAGCACAAGAAGAACTACGTCCCAGTTTTTAAGGAGCCTCTCACTGTTTAGATTTATAATGTTCTAAATTCATTTATCAGGGGGCAGAAAATGTTTTTAACCAAAAATGATAAGTTATAATGGATATACAGCAATATCCCCATGATTTGAGTATGAGTACCAAGCACCTCTGAACAGCCCTGATGATGACCTGAGACTGAAGATCATGACATCTATGACCTGCATTATAAGGCTAAGTGATAAAGGACCCTCTGAAACTCTGCTGGAAGATGGGCTGTCTCCTGCCTGCACAAAAACTGTCCAATTTCCTTCCACGTGYTATTTTACTGTCTTTAAAAGGTTTTATTTGAATTTATCATTTTTACTGAAACAGTTGTAATGTTAGCTGTATTTTCTCACAGCCTCAGCTAGCAGACACTACTCAGAGATCAGCTCACTGCTGCCACTTGACATAAACAAATACAAAGTTATGACCAACCACACAATGATCAACACATAGTGCTGTGAGAACTGACCGGGGTCACAAGATGGGGTCTCAGCAGTTTGTATGAGTAGAAAGCGAATAGGTTTTTGTCATATTTCGTAAGAGAGACGTGAGGATGGTTCTTCTCASTGACCATAAATCAGGCTTTAGTGGATGTTTCAGGCAACAGAACCTAATGATGAAGAGGAGGAAAGAGCGACAAGCTGCAAATCTTTAAAAACAAAAAGCCTAAAGAGCTCATTTAAACTTTGTTACAATGTCTGTTACATGTCTGGCTCATCCCTTGAGTTTAGAAGCATTTTTTTATTTCTTTTTTTTAGAGTGAAGAGAAAATAGAGAAAGAGAGAAAAACAGAGAGGAAGAAGTAATTAGAAAGATTGAAATAGAGATTAGAAGTATATTAAATGTACACCAAGACAACACAGGACCATACACCCAACATCTGTCCGCTCACCTGAAAAATAAATGGATAAATACATGGATGGCATATATAAATATATACACATACCCATACATATATAAAGGTATACATACATACATACATGCCTATATTCATAAATATTGTCTGTATATACACACAGACATATATACACACTCAGTGAACAGTCAGAACCCCCTGGATCAGAGCACCTGTTTGTGAGCGGTTGTGAACATGTGTGTATATTCAAGATTTCTCCAATGGAATATTTAATAGTGACTGTGGAGGACCG